ACTGAGGTGATTTAGGAATTGAGATGAGTTTCTCTTATAAATGGTGATTTCTAGATAGAATTGTATTGGTAGAGATTAAGTGAGGAGTTGTAAACTGGAAAGTTTAGCTCTAAATTAATACTACTAATAGCGGATTCATTCCGGGCTTGGTAGCCCCTAGATGTAGGTGTTGTTGTTCATCAAACTGTGTCATCATATCTTGGTGTTCTTTACTTTTCTATTATGTTAAATTCAGTATGCTCTTAAGTTCTGAAATACATGTCTTAACATATGTTGAAACATCTGTCATGACACTGTTATGTATTTGCAGTTTTTGGATGTTATTGTTTTTGGCCTTGTTTATTTATGCAGAGATCAATGTCTCGACATCTCTTGGGACATTTGAGATCTGCACACCAGAATTTCAATTACCACGAAGAATAGTCTGTGGTGGTAAGTATTTGACTTACTACCACACCCTAAGTTACCACAGGCTTTGAATCGTGGTTAAATATTGATTCCAATTGTTGTGAAATATATTATTTGTAGTAGTTCTTTCCTTTCGGCTGATAGGTTAACCGAAGAAATAGATTACTTAATATTTAAACAAAAAATAAAATAAAAAATAATGTCGCAGTTGTGAAAGAAATAAAACATAAACCGTACTTGGTGGGATTTGAAATGTGTCCCTTAGTTAGTTTACCCCTTGGTTGTGAGTAGCAACCGAGTGAATAAATGGTTTTTTTAATGTGGTGTGTCCATGGTTTATACCTCGATTTTTGTTGGACGAGGTGATAATTTTTTCATAAAAGTTGAATGCCTTACGATTTTTTAGGAAGAGAGAAAATTTCATTTGACAACTAAAAATATGTCACGTGAGATGTTTAAATAATTTTCTAATCACAACTGTTCATTTTAATCTGATGGCACAAAATGTTTCATCTCACTCTCGCATAAGAAACATCATTCTTACTTGATAAAGAACGCATACAAGTCAGAAGAGTAATCAAGGAATACCTCAAGCTAAACAATCAACACAAGTTGTGCTAAAAAGTGCGACAAAAGAAAACAAAAACAAAACAAAAACAAATGGGAAGAAAAACTCTAACCACCGCAAAAAGAATCATATTTTAATAGCGTTGATTATATGTCAATAGAAACGGATGCTAACATATTAAATAATTTGTTTTAACTTTTTATTATTAATGATAGCATCAGCTTAAATCGACCTTATATATGCATTTATTTTATTTATAATCATTTATTGAAATATTAGCAGCAATAGAGATTGACGCTAATGCATAGTTGCATGTAAGTTCATTTAATTTATTATTACTTTTTTTTGCGGCAGTCAGAGCCGACGCTAATATTAGTTTAGAAAAATTACAATTCCGCCCACAAATTCTATTTCCCATTCCTTTTACAATTTTCATTTGCCTCTCATTTATTTATTTTTTATGTGTTTATTTATTAATTTATAAGTATTTTTATTATAAAACTAAAAAAATTTCATAATTATTTATAAAGCTAAAATAAAATACAAATAACACTAAAAAATAAAAAATAAAAAATTCTTCAAAACTATTAATAAAATTAAATAAAACTAAAGTAATTCCTTAATTTTATTTAATTATTTATTGATAAAACAAAATAGAACTAAAAAATTAAAAAGAAATAAAAAATAAAACTATTTATAAAACTAAAATAAAACTAAAAAACAAAAATGAAATTGATTCCTAGTTTTCATGAAACGTTAGTTCTCTCAAAAGTTTTCGGAAAATCGCTTTCAAAAAATCGTTTTAAGAAATTGCTTCTGAACAATTGTCTTCAAAAAATCATTCCAAGAAAATGCTTCAGGGGGGATTTTTAAAGTTAACATGATATTTTTGGTAAATTGACACATACCTTTCTATGTTCTTTATGAGGGATTAAGAAAAGGAGTTTGCAGTTGTCAGGAAGAACGTCAATAAATCATTTTGTTTATACCTTTATTATTTCAAATGATTTTTAGTTCATTGAAATGAAGTAGGTTTATTATGTTTACTACTTTTGGTTATAGGTTGATGATAGGCGTGATCAAGAGAAAAAAGCTTATTCTAAGATGTTCAATTAGCGATCATGCAATTATGATGTTTGTGACTTTATGGTCTAAAAGAATCATAATTTTATAGGAAGCATATCTTATTACATACATAGTAAAAAATTTCTTATTTTCCTTTAGTGATAGTCTAAAATATCAAAAATAGTGTATCTTTTTGAATTTATGCATTTTAGACCGAATTTGTGATAGAGATTCTTATCATCAGAAACTGACACTATGGAACACGTACAAGATAGATAGGGTCAGCTATGGTCGACACTACATGGGTATAAATAGAAAGTTAGCATTGTTTCTTGTCGACGCTACATAAATGTATACAACACTATAGTGGCACGTAAGACCGACGCTATATGGTTATGGCTAGATAGTGACGTCGTCAACAGTCGACGCTACCAAATGAAAATAGCACAATAGTTTCGCTTTAGACCGACACTACATAAATCATAGTGTCGATAATGGTCGACGTTAAACCCAAACATGTTTGTTCTATAGTGTCGATTTTTATGTATTAGCATTCATTTAGCGTTTCGTTTAGTCGATGTTATAGTTAGCGTCGGCTGAGCGTTACGTCTTGTTTCCAGCTTTGAGGTGGCCGCCCCAACCTCGACACTTGTCGCGGTGTGAAAAATAGCTGAGCGCATTGCACACTCGATGATACAACAGAGTCGCCACCAAACTTTATTTATTCCAAAAGGAATGAGAAAATATCGATAAAACCCAAAGGAAAGAGATTGGTAAGGGAGTCAGTTATGCGAGGGGAAGGTATTAGCATCTTTCACATCATTCGTACTCGACAGGAACCATTTTGTTTGTTCTTTGCGGAAATGGGTGTTATTATCTAAAGGTTACTTGTGAAAGGGGAAAAAGATTTATAATTAGTGTGCTCGCGGAGGATTGGGGTCCTCGTGCCTACATATCCTCATAGTGTAATGAGGAAATCAAAGCTCCGTAGTTCGAAGGAGAAATAAAAAGTGTGCTCGCCAAGATCTCACAATCCTGTGCCTACGTATCCTCATTGTGCAATGAAGAAATCAGAGCTCCGTAGTTCATGGAACTAAGGGTAGAACAAAACTAGTGGTGTCATAACTAAGAGAAGGAATAAGAGAGATAGGAGTGGTGTTCGAACCAAAGAAGAGGTAGAGTTTAAAATAAATAATGGAAGTGGTATTTTAACCGAGAATCGGTGATTAGCCAAGATAAGAGAGTATGGTATTTTAATCGAGAATTAATGATTAACCAAGAGAAAGAGGTATGGTACTTTAATCGAGAATCAATGATTAACCAAGAGAAGAATATGTTAACCAAGAAGTGGTGATTACCCCTAAGAAAAGGAAGAAGTTGGTATTTCAACTGAGAATCAGTGATTAACCAAAGGGAATGAGGTGTGGTATTTTAACCAAGAATCGATGATTAACCAATGAAAAGAGAAGGTGGTATTTTAACCGAGAATCGGTGATCAACCAAGGAAAAGAAGAAGATAATCTTTTTAACCAAGGATCGGTGATCAACCAAGGAAAAGAAGAAGATGGTCTTTTAACTGAGAATCGGCGATCAACCAAGGAAAAGAGAAGATGGTCTTTTAATCGAGAATCGGTGATCAACCAAGAAAAAGAGAAAATGGTCTTTTAACCGAGAATCGATGATCAACCAAGAAAAAGAGAATATGGTTTTTTAACCGAGAATCAGTGATCAACCAAGGGAAAGAGAAGATGGTCTTTTAACCAAGGAAAAGAAGAAGATGTTCTTTTAACCAAGGATCAATGATTAACTAAGGAAAGGAGAAGATGGATTTTTAACCGAGAATCGGTGATCAACCAAGGAAAAGCGAAGATGGTCTTTTAGCCGAGTATCGGTGGTTAACCAAAGAAAAGAAGAAGGTGGTCTTTTAACCGAAGATTGATGATTAGCCAAAAAAAAGGTATTTTAACCGAGAGGTAATTAAGCCAAAAGAAAGAGATTGGTCTTTTAACCGAAGAAAAAAATATGGTATTTTAAACAAGAAAAAAAATTAGCCTTAGAGTTAAAAAATAACCTTATAACAAATTATAGATTAAACTTATACTTTAATACTTTTAACAAACTAAATTTATATTTAAGAAAGTCTACCTCAACCTAACATATTCCCATCTATTATGAGTGGTAAAAGTAATTTCTTAAAAAGAAAAATAGAAACTAGTTAAAGTAAAATAACTTATATGAAACAAATGAAAGGAAGGAACTCTCTAAACTTTCAACAAAGGCAAAATAATTACGGATTGAATAACTTGAATGACCATGTCAATGTTTTGCATACCATTATTAAATACACTACAAATAAATGTTAATTCTGCATTTCTAAATATAAATATTTATAGAGCACGATGTGATATAGTCTAACAAATATTTATAAAGGTCTTTTGTATAATAATGTATTTAACAACACTTTAATGATACTAAATAAGATTTAATTTAAGAATAATAATATATATATATATATATATATATATATATATATATATATATATATATATATATATATATATATATATATATATATATATATATATATATATATATATATATATATATATATATTTTTTTTTTTTTTTGTTTTGTTTTGTTTTGTCATGATTATATTTACCGAGTATACAGACGTGTTTGAAGGACATGCACAATTTTGGACACTTCTCCTTTTGTTTCATGTTGGTCAAAAATTTCAAACACTTTTACTCTTTTTCATTGAAATACCTCGTATTTTCCTCTAGTCCAATTAACATCAACCAAAACATGGACCATCTTGTTGAAATTCAAACCCCTTAACCAATTATATATACATACACCAACATTTCGAGAAAGAGACAAATTCAAAGAGACAACATTATTACAAACTAAATAAAACAGTACCCATAACATAACAAAAACTAAACTTGTTCAAGAAGCCATGCAACGTTTGCCAGCTACCTTGTACCGTAAAATAGCTCATAGACCTTCATGCGACGTGTTCATAAATCATCGAGGGATCGACACGAAGAGGAACATCGCAGGGTTGCTTTACGATCGATTGACAAAGATGGGAGTGAGGTCGTTTTTGGACAGCAAGAATATGAAACCTGGGGATAGATTGTTTGATCATATTGATAGAGGAATTCTTGGTTGCAAAGTTGGTGTTGCTGTTTTTTCGCCAACTTATTGTGACTCTTATTTTTGTCTCCATGAACTTGCTCTTTTCATGGAGTCGAAAAAGAGAGTTATCCCAATTTTTTATGATGTTAAACCTTCTGAGCTTGTTGTTAAGGACAATGGTACTTGTCCTGCTAAAGAGCTTCGAAGGTTTAGTGCGGCATTAGAGGAAGCTAAATTCACTGTTGGATTAACCTTCGATTCTTCCAATAGGTTTGTCTTAATAATTAACATAAATTTTTAGACACATCTGGCAACACTGACACTTATGATAACTTACTTGAACTGTTTGCGTCTTTGTATCTGACACTTGATATTAAGCCGATACTGACACTTCTAGTTACGTGTTAGTGTCTGACGTATTTATATCCGTGTTTTGTATCTGCAAAATGTTGTAGTATTGACTTTGAATTGAATGTGTGATACAGGGACTGGTCGGTGTTATTAAGAGATGCTTCGGAAGCAGTGATCATGAACTTGTTGGAGTTAGAAGAAGAGCGTAAGCTCATGAAGAGGAAACAATGAATACTAATCACAATTAGTTCATTAATTGAACACTTAATAATTCTTTTAAAGAGAAAAGGAAAGATAGTATTAAGCAAGCAAAGCAACAACCAACTACGAGAGAGCTTTTTAAGTTAATAATATCACCCAATTATTTTCCCTAAATTAATTAGAATTCATTAGTTGGTTTAGGGTTTCAGTTTTAACTATCAACATTAGAATTCATTTATTTTATTTTATTTTTAATATTTTTTTTAGTTAAATTTGTAGTGAATCGACCTTTTGTTGTTGTATCATCTTCATAAAATAAATTAATTTGGGATTGCACAAAATTTATATATTTTAACCTTTATTTCCATACGTTGTAGTTTGATATGTATACACTATAGTCTTATTTAATTTACTATGAGTGTACATCGGTTAATGTTCAAATGTACAATCATAACGAAGATTACTTGCTGATATGTCAATTTTAACTTTTTAATGTTAAAAATAGATTAATAAGAGAGTATGGAATACTCAAACCATTTCCAAGAATAAGAATGATTCAAGGTCTAATACAGAAAACATTTCAAAGAGTAGAACTTGATTCTATATATCAATTTCTCAACACTTACAATCTTATTTGAAAATAAAAATAGTGTTATTAATTATGAAATTTTTAAATGGATGGCACACCTAAGTATAGAACCCAAGCCAACTCATTCTTAAATCTAAACTCAATAGCAAGACTCAAAAATTGATAGAAAACAAAACAAAATTTGAGACATCTATAACTTTATCCTAAGTACTTAAAATTTGAGACATCTATAACTTTATCATAACTACCTAAGTACTTTATACTAATCTTAAAAAATGAAATCATAAATAACAAATAAATGAAATGTGAAGTCACTAATCACACAAAATACATAAATACATAAAAAATAACTTTAGGTCCACAATACTCCTACATTTAAGAATATTGTGATGAGTAATGATTTTATTAGAGAGGAATTTTCTCAAAAAGGCAATAATTTCGAACGATGTCCAACTTTTACAAAATATAGATAAAATTGATATATTCTCGTAAGTTCTACTCTAATAGTGATAACTTCCTCAACCTCAATATAAATAGTTTGAGATAAATCTCTTTGGATTGATCTTCTACCTCAAATAACTTTCAAAGGTAAAAGTTATTTCATATGAACTTTCACCCCGGACATAGTATTTAAAATGGTAAAATCTATTAATATAGGCGTTTTTCTTTATTTTTAACTTTTAAGATACACTTCACTTTAGTTAAACATAACAACCGTGGTGAAATGTGTCGTGTTTCTTTTTTTTTTAATTAAAATTAAATAATATTTTACCATGGTTAGGCTTTTCAACCGTGAAAAAATGTCTCTTTCAGAGACGTTCTTCGAATTCCAACACATACATCTTAGTTTTTCATTCATTTTTAAGACACTTTTGTGTTACAATATCTTCATTCATTTTTACTATATTGAAAATTTTGGCTATGAAGATCAATGTCAAGGTTCAAGCATATCGTTTAATTGATACAGTGAAACTTGAGATTAATCTTCAAATCAAGTTTTTTAATATATTGTTTTTATCATTTTCAAAGCATAAAACTGCAGGATCAATGATACAACAACACAGCTAAATGCAATATGAAGTTTTAATATGTTGTTTTCTAATGTGAACGTGTATAAATTATGTGTTTAAAAAAATGTGTAGACTTCACGAATGGAAAATAAAGTTTGGAAGCAGAATGAGTTAGGTTTTGAAGAAAGCTAAATGAACATGTTAAGTTTATATAGAAAAATTTGTATAACTTTTTCCCACGTTTGGAAAAAGTAACTGTGGTGAAACGTTATAAGATATCCCCATGATTGTTAATAATAACTATGGTGAAAAGTGTTCCCTTTAAATTAAAACATACAAAGATGTAGTTTATTTTCCTTCATAACTGAACAACGCCCCAACAAAAACTCTTCAGAACAATACACCGCCTTAGCTAAAACCAGTCTCCATGAACAAACAAAATACCATTTCTTCACTAATCTCCATCCTATTTTATATGAAACAAGGATAGGAAAGACGAAACTCGTAAGAAGGGTACATGATACTCATTTATTTGATTCTTATTCTTCACATTTCCGCTACATGAAACATTTTATCACTATTAATAATTTACTATTTGTGAGATATTTAAGCTCTTGGTACTTGATTTTATTTTGTGTTAACAAGCTTTATTAGGTTAAATTATGTTGGTTTTGATGTTTTTAGCTTAGTTAGCATGGAACACACTATCGGCTCTCTTTTTTTAGTTGCATGTGTTTGTTACTTGTGTATGACTACTCCGATGACAAGTTCTATCATGCCAAAGATGTTGTATCAATGCAACCTCACTTTCTAGTAGGTCTTAGATCCAGAAGGCACCGTAATTAGTGAAGGATCTCAACATTAGAGCGGATGTGGCAAAAGCTTGAAGATGGAAACACTAGGTGAGCTAGAAATATGAATGGATAAAAATGAACACTATAGAATAAAAACCTGTAAAAGCTGCTTAACACTGAGATGAATGCACTACTTGTCTATCTACACAACAGGCCTTCCTCGGGATGTGTTATCCCTTGCATGTTGATATGTACTACCTAGTACTTGTACAAGAGGATAAGAAGAAAGAATATGTTGATTTTCATGGGGAAAATCAATGGATAATCACAAAACTCATGATCCAATGATTAAAGGAAACCCTCAAAGTTAGGAGGATATAAAATGACCACCTTGAAGAAATGAAAGATAAATGTAAGTTGAGACACATGAAAAATAACTTAGAAAAATATCTCGTTTGGAGAAGAAGAAGTCTGAACCAGAAGTGAACAAACTTTCTCCTCCTTCCTTTTCTTGAAGAGGTGCTGATCTACGGGCATTATAGAACTCTGCTGATTAAAGATTGCAATAAGTAGAAGTGTTAAACATAGGTCTTCATTTTTTTTTTCCATTAGTGTTTAGTATAACACCCCAAAATAATTAAAATATTATTATTATAGTGTGTTTTCATAATTTTATTATTATTATTATTATTATTATTATTATTATTATTATTATTATTATTATTATTATTATTATTATATTGGTTGTAAAGTTGGTGTTGTTGTTTTTCGCCTTTTAAGCTTGTTGTTAAAGACAATGGTACTTGTCTTATTAAAGAGCTTTGAAGGTTTACTGCTGCATTAGAGGAAGATAAATTCATTGTTGGGTTAACCTTAAATTCTTCCAACAGGGTTGTCATAATAATTCACATATATTTTTAGTAGTCACAATAATATAGACATCTGTGTTGGCACATGTGAGTGTCCCATACCAACACGCAATACTAACACTTGTAATTACGTGTTGTGAGGTGCTTGTATTCCTGTCATGTATGTCGATGTATTGTATTTGAAACTTAATATTAACGCGATACTGACACAGGTGAGTAGAGGTATTTGTGTCATGTTGGTGTTTGTATGTGTACAATGTTGTAGTATTAACTTTGATTGTGATAAATGATATATTGTTGTATTTATTTTGAATTGAATGTGTTTTACAGGGACTGGTCGGTGTTGTTAATGTTGGAACTTTGAACCACAATATTAGTGAATAATGGTGGAGAAAATTGGAATGTGGAGAGTGAAAGAGGATAATTGAGAGAGAGAGAGAGAGAGAGAGAGAGAGAGAGAGAGAGAGAGAGAGAGAGAGAGAGAGAGAGAGAGAGAGAGATGAGAGAGAGAGAGAGAGAGAGAGAGAGAGAGAGAGAGAGAGAGAGAGAGTGAGAGAGAGAGAGAGAGAGAGAGAGAGAGAGAGAAAATTGAGGATGAGAATCAATTTTGCATTACACTTGGATGAGAATGCATCCAACATATTTATACAAGTATTTTAAACTGATTAGGATCTAAAACAAATAATTACATAATAGAAAAAAATGCAAAACTCGGGCCTATTAGGCAGTTACACCATTTGGTTAACCGGTTACACCTGACAGAATTAAAATAACTTCAGTGGTAACCGGTTAACGTCTGAGGTCAATTGGTTACACCTTCGAGATTTTCACTTTTCTGCTACTCATAAGTGCTTTTTCCTTTGCTGTAACCAGTTACACCCCGTGTTAATCAGTTACATCACTTGAATTACTTACAATCCTTTCAACACATCATCTTAATTCATATGTGTTGCGGTGAGAATCGTGATACCAAGCTATTGAATTAACTTGAATCTTAATTCTTAAATTCACAACCGGACTTTAATTTATCCAAAGGAAAGGTCTAAAGAAAGAAAGAACCTTTTGCGCGATGTAACAACAACGCTAAGAGATTCGGGGATCGGGGGTTGGTTATGCCTAGGGTAGGTATTTCACATCCTAAACATCTGTAGTACTCTACAGGAACCTTTTGTTTGTTTGCATGCTAAATTTGGTAAATGTTTGCTAAGGATTGGGTTGGGTAAAGGTTAAAACCTAAAGATAGTTTCTAAGTTTGCTCGCAAAGACGTCGCGTCCTCTGCCTATGTATCCTTACTAGGATAGAATCAGAGCAATCGTAGTTCACCTCACTAGGGTTGAAGAACACTTGATTATGGTCAAGGTTCAAAGGGGAACAAACAAATCCATGCTTGGGTAGAGTTTAAGAAAACTCTCTAGATCTATGTTGAAATCTCAAGAAAGGGGAGTAAGTAATCATATCCATGATTCTTACATAGAGTTAACCAAACTCTATCCTAAAGTTCTACGTTGTAAGACCAATTGGTTCTATCCAGACCAAAAGGTGGGAGAAAGGGGGAAGGTTGCTCGTCAAGATATCGTATCTTGTGCCTACGTATTCTCATTATCCAATGAGAAATAAGAGCGGTCGTAGTTCGGGCACGAACTACAGAATAAGGATCTATTGGTTCTTCCCAGACCAAAAGAGGGTGAAGGTTCTATCCAAACCTATGACTTTAAATCCTATTGGTTCTATCCAGACCTATAAGGGTATCCTATTGGTTCTATCCAG